CGCCGCCTCACCCTCGCGCCACGGCGACCGCACCCCGCCGGGCGCTGCCTCGCAGGCCTGACCGCCTCGTCCAAGTCGTACGAGAAGCTGTACCCCTCCCTCGCCGGGCCGACTCTCATCCTCAACCTGCCATTCATCCTGCAGGCGGACACAGACTCGTCGCTCCCTCATACTCTCACGCACACCCGCGCACGCAGCACTTATCTCGCCCAGCCTTGCCCTGCCTCCCGTGAGCCGCTGCACTCGGAGTGCCGCCGCGGTGCCGCTCTCGCCTGTCGCGGCGACGCAGACGTGCACCTGATGACCTGTCCCGCCCTCTTCCTCGCCCTCCCGCAGGCCTTTGTCGGCCTCTTCAAGCCCCTCTTCCCAAAGGTGGTGCAGGCGCGGCTCAAGTTTGAGCGGGCGCGCCTCCCCCACCCCCACCCCCACCCCGGGCGTGTGGCGAGCGGCGGGGCGTCACCGGCGCGGCCGAGCGTGCCATAGGCACCCTTCCTCTCGAAGCTGGACCAGCTCACGCCGCTGACGACCGACAGCAGCAAGCGCAAGGCCTTCCTGGCCGAGATCGCGTCGCTCCTCGACACGGGCTTCTTCGCCTCGGGCGGCAACATGTGAAGAGGGAGTGCGATTGTCGGCGAAATCTAATTTCTTGTCCGCCCTGCGCCTTCTTCCATCGGCTGTGTAACGGCTGCCGACACCCCTCGAATTCGAACCCATTCCCCCCAGCACTCACATCATCAAGAGCCCCGGCAACGCTTGGCCATGTTCGCCAAAAAGAAGGAGGGCCAACGCTTCATGATCCTGATCTCGAGCGGCACGTGCGACGCCACCAAGGTCCACGTCGCCGTCACCAATGGCTTCGCGCAGCTCAAGGGCGACGCAACGACCAAGGTTGACTTCGTCCTCATGGCCGAGGGCGGCTGGGTTGTGGAGGACAAGGTCCTGCGTTCGATCGGCGCGTTTGGGCTGCCCCCGATGTCCAAGCTCCTCGACGACCCATGCATGCAAGACATAAATCGGGTCACCTGGACCGTCTGATCCTTCTGTGCCGACGCGTGAGTCTCGCCCCGGCACTGCATCGGCTCTCTCTCCACCTTCCCCCGCCCTACCTGCCCCCGATCCCGATCCCACCTGCCCTGCCACCGTTCCCGATCCTGCCCCCGATCCCACACCCACCCTGCAGCCGTGGCATCACGGACGTCGCGATCATGAGCAGCGTGGGCCCGCGCCCCAACTGCTCCATCAAGGCGGCCACCGACCCGGCGGCGCTCGCAATGTATGCAAACGCGGACAAGATCCTGTGCTTCTAGACGGACGTTTCTTCAGTCGCACGGCCCGGAGCAGGGCGTGCCTCGGCGCAATATGACGCGCGCCCCTCGACAGCCCACTCGTGGGTGTGGGGTGCGCCGATATACTTCAGCGCTCGAGACGCTCCGCCTCGATCCGCGCACCGCTCGATCCGCGCAGCATGGGACGTGCAGCGCGACGCAGGGGGTGTAACATGTACACTGCTCAAGGTGGCGGCGCTTCGGCGTCAGCTCCCTTCTAGGAATCTGAGACGTTGTACCACCTGTACCGCACTGGGCTAGTCGCCGACCACCCTGCACAAAGATCGCAAGGGCGGGGACCTGTTCTCCTTTTTACCCATCTCACAGTAGAGGTGTCCGTTTTTATTTATTTATTTATTATTTGAGATTACTCAGATTAGCTGGGCGTCGTAAAAATCGAGGAGCGGGCGAGCCAGCGAGGCGGGCAGACGGGCAGAGGCTGAGGGGCGTGAGAGCGCTTACCCCCCCCCCCCCCCCCGCCCCCCCCAACAACCTTATAGTCATCGCCCGAGCCCTCGATGGCGCCCTCCGCCTGCGCCTCAGTTGTGATCTCCTTGGCCTTGAAGGAGGTCTGCCGCCACCACAGCTCGCGGTAGTGGTCCATCCTGCCGTCCACCGCGACCCCATCTCCGTCGAAAGACGGCGCAACCACCCTCCCCGTCCTGGGCAGCGGTGCGAGCGGGTCCCGCAGCGGGGCACAGGCGAGATCGATCTGCCTCTTGCCCGGCGTGGCCGAGCGGCGGATCAGGCGCACGGTCGCGTTCAGACACGGCGATGGAGACGCCATCCAGTGAGAGCGTCTTACCCGGCGCTATGTGCCGCGCGCTGCCCGTTTCGGATTGGATGAGCGGCGTCGGCGGTTCCCCCCCCGCGAGAGCTCGCGGCAAAACCTGGCATCGAAGTGTCGCTGGCTCATCTCATCTCTGCGGGCACGTCGTCGCCTGAAGTACCCGCCTTGCTCACGCTCCAGTGATTGCCCCGTGCGAGGCGCTGGGCGCCGCCCAGCACCGAGACGCTGCGCGGCGCCGCCTCAACAACCCCAAAGCGCCGGTACTTGAAGTCGGTCGAGAAAAAGTCGGCCACCTTGTAGTCATCGCCAGAGCCCTCGATGGCACCCTCGGCCTGCGCCTCGGTCGTGATCTCCTTGCCCTTGAAGGAGCTCTGCCGCCACCACAGCTCGCGATCTGGGGAGGAGGAGGTGCTCAGATTCGTGCCCAAGGAATGGGCTGAGGAGCCCGGGCCCGAGGGGGGGGGGGAGCGCACAGTGGTCCTTGTTGCCAAAGACCGCAATGTTGTCTCCATCGAACGACTGACCAACTAGTCCATGTGGCGCCACAACCTTGCCCGTCCTGGGGTTTGGCGCGAGCGGGTCGCGCAACGGGACGAAGGTGAGGTCGACCTGCTTCTTTCCAGGCATGGTCGACTGCCATATGAGCCGCGCGGTTGCGTTGATGGCCCAGTCCGCGGAGACTACCTGCAAAATCTCCTCGCTGGCTGTGGCCCCAAACACGGAGCGCGACGTGCCGCGGCTCGACACCGATATCACGACGTCCTCAACGACGATCGGTGGCTCGCCCGCAATCACTTTCTTGCTACCGTCGCCGAGACCGTGCACAAGAGGTGTTGGGGGCGCATTTGGCGTGAACTCGATGCGGAGGGTGCGGTGGGTGATCGCCGTATTGATGCGAAGAAAGACGTCGGTCACAAATGTGCCGCGCACCTTGAGGCCGTGCTCCTCGAGCATGAAGGCGACCGCCTCGAACAGCGCGTTGACGGCGAACTTGGAGTGGTGAAGCATAGCGTAGATGGCTCCGTCCTCGCCTCTAAAGTCGGCCTCGCCACCGTGCGCAAAGTGGAGATGCGGGTCGCCGGTGAGTCCGCCGGGTCTGAGGGGCGGCGGCGAGGGCGGCGAGGGCAAAAAGGGGGGCGGTGCCGGCGGATTGGGCGGTTGCGGCGGGTCGGGCGGCGGCATCGGCGGCGACGGCGGGAGGGGCGGCGACGGCGGCGGTGGCGGCGGCTCCGGACTCGGCGATGGTGGCGGCGAAAATGGCGGCGGGGATGGCGGCGGGGAGAAGGGAGGGGGGGTGGGAGGGAGGGGCGGCGGTGAGGGAGGGGGGGCGCCTCTCAAGAAGTACCTGATGGTCGGTTGCTCCAAGAAGCGGACCGCTGTGCCTAGCGTGCTCTCTAGGCAGGCGAGGAAGACTGAAGAGCTGGTTGCGGACACCACGCTCGCGAGCGATGGTCCTGCGTCTTGCTCGAAGATGGTGACGTTGATGTCGTCTCGAGCCGTCGCACCAGCCACAACGGCGATGTCGCTCAGCAGCACAGTGACGCTCTCGGTGGCGAGGCATGCATGGACTGCCTCTCTCACGCTCTCAAGCTCCTGGTCTGTGGTGGGGTGCACTTGCGCAGTGCCAAAGAGGGAACGCCCGCGCCGAAGGGCACGCACGGCGTCCAAGAGGCCCAAGACCATGGATGCTGCCTGGACGAACGTGGCACCCGGCGGCGCAGGTGGGAAGGGCGAAGGGAGCAGCACGGGCGGAAGAGGAGGGAGGGACGGTGGAGTGCTAGGCGGCGGCGGCGATGGTGGGGGCGGCAAGGGAGGCGGCGGTGACGGAGGCGGCAACGACGGGGGCGGGGACGAAGGCGGGGGTGCCAATGGAGGCGGCAGCGACGGCGGTGGCAGCAACGGAGGCGGCGGGCTCGGTAGTGGCGGTGAGGGTGGTGGCGCAGCGGCGGCGCCCACACCGGTGGGTTCACTCGAGACGGTCCGGCGCCAAGCAAAGAGGAGCGCCGGTTACCAGAGCCTGCTGTGTGGCGGTGTGCGGCCGATTGGGGCCGTGTACTATGATTCCTGTGCGTGCGCCGCAGGACGTGACCACCTTGCTGCGCTCAATGTTCGCGGCCGTGACGCCTCCCCGATGTGAGTCTTCCTCCCCACACAGCACCAGCACCAGTGCACTGCCACGACACTCTCCCTCAGTTCCACAGCACTGGCGCCTCAGCCGTCTTCGCCCACCTTGTGCCGTTGCCGCCTTCCCCACCCCGCCAGCCCTTGCACACGCGTTTACACCATTGCGCCGGCAGGGCGCGGGCACACACTTTACGGCAGTCTTCGCTTGCGCACGCTGCTCAATTGGCTCAATTCCTCCCCACCTAGCTGCTGCCTCGCATCCCGCTGCTGGACGTGCGACTGCGGCCGCAGCGCAATGCATCGCTCGAGGGCCGACCCCGGATACTGGGATACTGCATGATACTGCAGGATACTGCGGGATACTGCTGGATACTGGCCATCTCTGATGCGGATACTGGGATACTCCTGGAGGACCAAGTAGCGCCCAGTTGCAGTATTATTACTTGGCATTTAGCTCTGTGATACTGGGTTACTTCGCCGGCGTGGATCGAGTACTGTGATACTCAGCGGGTGCGTCAACACGAGTATCGTGTATCGATCGAAGTATCTGCGGTACCAGCTCGGAGTATTGAAGTATTATTACTGCGCCATATCTCACAGGGAAATCTTTAGTGTCCCAGTATTTGAGGCCTGCTGCAAATTTCCCCTGTATCTGGACAGCCTCCGCGAAGTAGCCAAAAGAAATTACTCCTCCCGGGTGCGTGATGACTTATCCAATCCCCGGAGGGAGCTCACGCGCCATCAATCTCGGTGTGTATGCTGCTCCTTTTTGCGGCCGCCTCACCCACTGCGCTTCTCGGCACCCGCCCGGGGCTCGCGTGCTCCTCCGCGCCCCCGGTCGCCCGCTCGGCGCCGCCCTTCCTCCGCTCCGACCCGCCGCACGCGGCGCCGCTCGCGCGACTTCCGCAAGAGGACGCTCTCCCTCAGTCCAAGCGCAGGCGGCTGCAGCGGGCGGCGGCGTGGGTGCGTCGCGGCCTTTCGGACGGCGTCGCCGACATCCTCGCCGTCGCGCTCACGCGGCGGCGTGTGCGCGACGGCCCGCCGGCGGCGGCGGCGGGCGCTGCGCCGCAGCGGCAGGTGGCGAGGTACTGGGCGCCCTCGCGCGAGCAGGTGGCGCGGCGGCACCGGATCATCCGGGAGCTGGTCTGGATGGACGCGGAGGGGCAGCTGCAGCGCTTCGTCCGCTCGCTCGAGGGTCGGTGGGAGAGGGGCGCCGAGCGGCTCGCCGCAGAGCCCTGGACGGCGGCCGAGGTGCTCACCGAGGCGGTGCAGCAGGTGCAGGGGCAGCTGGCGCGCTCGCTCAAGCCGCGCGACCCGCTCATCCAGTGGCACCTCAAGACGCTCGACCCGCAGCAGCCGCAGGGCGCCTTCGACGAGTGCGTCCTCGTGCACGGGCGCGAGAGCTGCGCGGCGCGGTACGCAGAGCTACGCGAGGCGCTGCGCTCGGTGATCCCGTGCTTCGTCGCGCTCATCTCCGAGGCGGTGCGGCGGCGGCCCGCCCTCGCACACCGCATCTCCGCGCAGCTGCTGCTCGCCGCCGGCGTGCTCGCTTCGTGGCGCGCGGCCGCCCTCCCCCTCTCCCCTCCCTCTCCCCTCCCTCTCCCCTCCCTCTCCCCTCCCTCTCCCCTCCCTCTCCCCTCCCTCTCCCCTCCCTCTCCCCTCCCCCTGTCCGCGACTCCCCCCCCCTCGTTCGCCTTCCTCTCTCCGTTCCCTCCCTCCACCCCCTCCGCTCCTCCCGTCGCGGTGCTCGGCAGCGGAGGCCGTCCACGAACCGCCCACGAGCCCTCCCCGCAGGCGCGCCGCCGCCCTCCTCCGCCTCTCTCGCCGGCGGAGGTACGAGATGCTGACCAACTTCCTCGCAATCACCAGCGGGCTCGTCGCCGAGTGCCGCGCCGCCGTCGAGGCGCCGAGGGCGCTGCCGGCGGCCGGGGGCGCCGTGCGGGGCCGACGCCGCTGAATCGGCGGCTTGTTCTTCATGCTCTATCGCGCGGAGCAGAGGATCGTTTGTGTAGAGAGCGCCGCCGGCGGGCGGCGCAACCCTGCGGGGATGCATGTAACCTCCCCCTCCCCCACCCCCCTCCCCGACCCCGATGGCGACGCGCTGCGCGCGGAGCCGAGAGTGGCGGGGTGGTGCGGCCAGTTTTGTTGCCTCTAGCGCATGGAGGTTTGAGGGCGGGCAGCGCGCCGAAAGGCGCCTGTCTGCTCTGACTCTTGCTGTTGGGCTCAAGAGTCAGGCCTGACCCGCCTGGTCTCTTCTCTCGTGCTCTGGTATGTATCTCTTTTTTCGTGCGTTCCTGTTCTGGTATGAGTTTGTGTATTGGTATATGAGTTTGTGGTATTCGCCTGGGCTTTCTGACGTCTGAGGCCTCTCGCAGCACGACGAGGCCGCGGGCGTTGGCCGTTGGCGTTGCCGGTTCCGCCCGTTCCCGTTGCGGCTTGCGGTTGCGCGATATGCCTTATGCGAACGGAGAATCGAACTAGGAATCGAACGGACAAAAAATATCGCTCACAGCAAGCAAGCTTTTCGCAAAACCTTTGACGATAACTTACAACCGCTGCGCTCTCTCTCCTCACCACCTGCTGAGACACACCAGCCCACCCGACGAGTCACAGCTGCGAGAGCAGCTCGGTCAAGCACTGCGAGGTAAGGTTCACGCCCTCCAGCACAGCGTCCTTCTCGGACGCAAGCAGAACGCCGCCGAAACGAGCGACGAACTTGTCCGGGTGCCACCGTCGCAGCTCGTCCTGCACGGAGCGTCGAGCCGCCGCAGAGCCGGCGGCGTCGGCGGGGACAATGAGCTGGCGCAAATCGTCGAGGATCAGGCGGAGGGGCCCCGCGCCACCAGCGGGAGCCGCGAGGACGGGCCACGGAATCTCGGCGAAGCCCAGCTTGCGCGTCGGCACTGCCGGGCCGACCGCCACGGTCTCATCCCACGCGCTGAGAGAGGCCCAACCTTTTGCGTAGCGGTCGCGCGCAGCCTCCACGGAAGCGCGCGCCGCCACGTCTGCACCCGCTGCGCCGCTGCTCGCGTGTGCCACCTCTGCAGCGGCGCCGCTCGAGCTCGGACTGGCCGTCGCAGCCGCCGCCGCGCTCGCCGCCGCTCTCGCTAGACTGGCAGCCTCTGCCTGCCGAGCTAGTAGCACCTGCCGCGCCACCTCGCGCTGCGATCTTCGCTCCATCTCTTGAGCCAGCGTTGCCATGCAGCTTCGAGCAGCAGCCACGGCCATCCTGGATGTCGGCGCCGACGGCAGCTTCAATGCGTCGATTTCGGCCTGCTCCATCGCCTCGAAGGTGGGAAACTCATCGCCAGGGCCCCACCCTTCATCTGGCGCGGCAGCGGCATCTGCAGGCTGTGTCAGCCCGCAAATGCACGGGTCAGTGCGGCAAGCATCGCACGCCACCGCGCCGACGTCATACCTGCTCAGATCGACGTCATCGTCGTCGTCGTCGGCGGCGGCGCCTTCACTGCGGCTGCGGCTGCGGCTGCGGCTGAAACTGCTGCGGCTGCGGCTCCGGCTCCGGCTCCGGCTGCGGTACTCCTCGGGGTTTGCTTTATCGCGAGCCGGGGAGGATTCAAGGTCGCGCCTCCACTGTGGCACCTCTTTCGCCGCAGACTGCCGCTTCGCCCTGAACATCGCGGCATCGTCACTGCAAAGGATCACGAAAGCAAACAAAAAGAAACAAACCAGGCGCGCGCGGACATGGCAACAGAGGGTCTCGCTCCGCTCACTCAGGTGCCGCTCGCCAACTTCGGGCCCGAGTCGTCGATCGCCGTGCAGCCCGTCCTCGAGGGCTCGGGCGCCATCGACACCGGCGCCGGCGCCGGCGCGGCGGGCGGCGTCTACGTGGCGCGCGGCCGGCAGCAGGGGCACGTTGTGTCCTGGCGCGTGCAGGGCGCTCAGCTGGAGCTAAGCGAGGCGAGCCTGGTGCGGGAGCCCGGCCGCGCCTCCGGTCCCGGCCTCGCGCCCGACCAGGCCGAGCTCGCGCTCCGCTTCCCGGCGCCGCTCGTGCCCGAGGTGAGCCTCACGCAGCTGGGCGACGACTCGCTCCTGCTCTCGGCGGTGACGCACGCGCCGGCGGGCGGCGGCTACCTCTTCCAGCTCCGGTTCGCGTGCGCGGGCGGGCCCGCCGCCGCCGGCCGCGCCTTCTGGCTCTCCGCCCCGCCCTCGGACGTGCTGACCAAGCACGGGTACGCAGACCAAGTGGCGGGCGCAAAGCTCGGCCGGCTGCGTCTCGCTCGGTTCGACGCGGCGCGCGAGGGGGGCGACGGGCTGGTGCGGCAGCTGCTCGTCCTCGGCGGCGAGGGAGACCGCCTCTCCGCCCTCGAGGCGCGCACCTCCTTCGGCGCGGGCGAGATCGAGACGGAGGAGGTGCCTCTCTCGGCAAGCCGCTCGCGCATCTACTCCATCTTTGGCGGCGGCGGAGGCGGCGCGGGGTCGGGGGCGCCGCTGGTGGACGTCGCCCTCGTCGGCGCTCCCGCCGCGGCCGCCGCCGACGACGCCGACTCCCCCTCCGCCATCGCGCTCTACACCGACGGCCGCCTCGGCTGCTGGCGGCTTCAGGGCGCGCGCACGGGCGGCGAGGCGCCGGCCGCCACCGCAGTCAGCCTGCAGGCGCCGCCGCAGCTGCAAGGCGGTTCGGCGGGCGCGGGCGCGGCGGGCGCGGCACTCGCCACGTGGCGGGGCGAGGACGGCGTCGCCGTCGCGGTTGCGAGCCCGCAGCACCCTTCCATCTTTGTGTCTGTCCGTGCGGTGAGCAGACAGCGCGCGGAGAAGCGGCGCCTCCGTCCCCGTCGCTTCACAGCGCGTGCCCTGGATAGGCGCTGGGAGACGAGGAGCAGCGCCTCGCCGCCGAGGCGTTCGCCGCGATGAACTGGAGGGAGTGCCGTCGCCCCGACGCCGCCCCCGCCCGCGCGCGGCTGCTCCGGCTCGCCCTGGCGCGCGACAGTCCCGGAGGGGCGTCCCTCGCCCTGTGCGCGCTGTACGGAGGGGTGCCGCCGAGCGCGGAGGGGCCGGAGCAGCCGCCGTCGCTCTTCTACGCCTGCGTCCCGCTCGCCGAGGCGGCGCCTCCCGGCGATTGGTGCCGCGCGAGGCTGCTCTGCGACGCACACCCCGCGCCGCCGCTGCGGCTCGACGGTGCCGCCGCCGTGAGCGCGCCGCTCAGTTCAGTGACGCAGCGGCTGCTCCGGCAGCTGGCGCACCCGTTCCGCTTCACGCCGCGGCAGCTCGACGCCGCCGCCTCCGCACTCCTCCCACCTCCGCGCCCCTCCGGCGGCCCTCCTCCGCCGCTCTCGCTTCGAATCGCTGAAGGCCATGGAGCGGCAGCCGCAGCCGCTGCCGCGCGCGAGTCGCGTGACGCGTGCAGGACGCGTGCCCCGTAGGTGTGGAGCGCCGGCTGGACGAGCTCGAGGCGAGCTCGGCCGCGCTGGCGGCTGCGGCTGGGCGGCCACCGCCGCCCCGCGAAGAGTCTGAGCTAGTGTTGGGTGAGGCTCGGCCCCCCGCCCCTCACCACCCTCGCCCCTCGCCCCTCGCCCCTGCCCCTCACCACCCTCGCCCCTCACCACCCTCGCCCCTCGCCCCTCACCACCCTCGCCCCTCACCCCTGCCCCTCACCACCCTCGCCCCTCGCCCCTCACCACCCTCGCCCCTCGCTTCTCGCCCCTCGCCCCTCGCCCCTCGCCCCTCACCACCCTCGCCCCTCGCTTCTCGCCCCTCGCCCCTCGCCCCTCGCCCCTCGCCCCTCCAATGTACGAGGCCCCTCGCCCCGCACCCCTCGCTACCCCTCGCTACCCTCGCCCCTCCTCGCACGAGGCAAAGCCTCTCTTCCTTGCCAAGCCTCTCTTCCGCCCCTCGACGCACAGCCGAGCAGTTGCTCGACACGTGCGTGCAGCGCAAGCGCGAGCAGGCCGAGATCCTCGGGCTGCAGCCTCTCTGCCCCGAGGTGGCGGGCGCGCCGCTCGCGCTCCTCTCCCGCTCGGGGCTGACCCTCCTCCTCGCGCTGCCCGAGGGCGACCCGCGCGAGATCGCCTCCTGCAGAGACCTCCTTGACCTCCTCCTCGACGTCGGCGTCGACTGCGGCGTCGGCGACGGCGTCGAGGCGCTGTGCCAGAGCCCGCACCCTGGCGTGCCCCCCACCGCGGCGCTGATCGAGGCGGCGCGCTGCGCCCTCGCGCGGGCGCCCGCGGGCGCGATCGCCGGCTCCATCGCGGCGGCTGAGCCTCAGCCGCCGCTGCTGCCGACGGCGGCGGCGCTGCTCAGCTCGCTCACTCAGCTGCGCTGGACGTCGCTCAACGATTGGGACTTCATCGACCCGGAGCTGATCGCGCAAGCGTGGTTCGGCCAGCTCTGGAGCGCGCCCGGGTGGCGGGCGGGCGACGCCACCGGCGCCGCCGTCGCTGCCGCCGCCGACTCGCGCCGCGCGGTCGCGCACGCTGTCGCGGCGAGCGCGGCGCGGCTGGCAGAGCGCGGCTCGCTGCTCTGCGTGCACTTGCTGCTGCTGCTGCTGCACGAGGGCGTCGACGGGGGCGGCGACACGGCGGGCCTGCTGGCGGCCGGCGGCGACCAGGCAGCCGGCGGGGACCCCGCCTCCCCCGCCGGCCTCGCGGTCCGCACGGCGGAGCTGGGCTGCACGCACGCGCCGCCCGGGTGGCGGGACGTGTCGTGGACGTGTGCCGTACGCGTGCGATAGGCGAGGCTCGCCTGCGCGCACGAGCTGCTCGGGTGGCTGGCCGAGTCGGAGCCGGCGCACTTGATGCACGAGCAGGCGCGCGCTCCTTTGGCCGCGCCATCACCCCGCCACTTCCCCGCCAGACCGTGTCGCCCACTGACAAAACCTTCCTCACGCACACACATGCCCTTCCCTCTCTCCCCCCATGCCGCCCCCTCCCAAACCCTTCCTCCTCGCGGCAGGGCCGGAGCTTGCTCGAGGTTGCCATTCGCGCCGCCGCCCTCCCCGGCCAGCTCGACCGCGTCGTCGGCGACCACGTGACGCCGATCGGCGACGCCTGCACCGTCGCCGCATGCGCTCTCCTCGTCTTCGTCCTCAACGACGTGCGGATCGCCGAGGGAGACACGGGCCCGCTGCGGGCGGAGGTGCCCGCCGCCCTCTCCCTCCTCCTCGCGCGCGCGAGCTGCTGGGCGCCCCTCGCCGCCTACCTCCGCCGCCTCGGCGCGCCGCCCGGCCACACGGCGCCGGCCGGCGGGGCGGCGCCGGCCGGGCCGCCCACCGCCGCCGGCTCGCCGCTCCACGTCTACCTCGGCGGCGAGACGCTGCTGCGTGAGGGGCGCTACGCGGCCGCGGCGCGCGCCTTCGAGGGCGCGATGCGAGGCGCGGAGGCGAGCCGCACTTCGTCGCTGCGCGAGCTCAATCGCGCAGTCGGGGTGCCGCCTCTCTCCACCGAGGCGCCGCTCGAGATCCGCTCGAGATCGGCCCGAGATCGGCCCGAGATTCGCACGAGAGTGGCACGAGCTCGAGCCGCGATTGCCCCTCCGGCCAGGCGCCGCTCGAGTCTGCAGCCGAGCGGGACGAGTGGGCTCGGTACGAGTACCTCGCGGCGGTGCGCAGCAGCTTCGATGCCGCGGGGCAGGCGGACGCCGCCCTCCCCTTTGCGAAGCGCGCGCTCGAGCTGCGAGTGATCGAGGAGCGGGCCCCAAAGGCGAGGCTTGCCCCGCCGCCCCTCCCGGCCCCTCCGACCCCGTTAACCCCCCCCCCCCCCCCCTCCCCCCTTTCCCCCCCTCACCCCCTCGCCTCTCATGCGCAGGCCTACGCCGGGCTTCACGTCGTGGCCTTCAAGGACTCGCTCAACCTCGGCCGGCTCGCGGATGCGCATGAGGCGGCCGCCGCTCCCCTGCAACCGCTCCCCGGCCGCCGCCCCGCTGTTGCGAGCTCCACACACCGCTCACGACTCGCTCCAGCACGTCGGTCGCTTCTCCCTCCGCCGCCAGGTACTCACCGACCTGCACGGCTGCGCTAGCTCTGCCCACCGCCGCGTCGACAAGGAGGCGGAGAAGGTCTACCTCGAGCGCCGCGCAGACTGCTTCAACACACTCGTGTCGGTGCTCCACGCGCGTGGCGGCGTGGCGCAGCTCGCCAAGCTTCGCTTCGACGGCGCGCCCCCACCGCAGTGAAATGAGGGTGTGGGAGCAACACGAGGGTTT